AACATAGAGAAGCTTCATGAGAGTGGGGACCCTTGACAGCCTCCCTACACCCCCCATCAGTACCCCTGGTGTCCAGCTTGGTGCCTGGCACATGCTAGAGACTTCATAAATATTTGGCAAGAGGGAGAGTGGAGAGAGGAAAGGGAGAAAGAAGAGGGAAAAGGAGAATCAAAATAAAAAGGACTGAGCTTGTTATCCCAAGAAATAATGGTGTCCTCCCTCTAAATCTAGGCCCTTTGATGACAAGCCTCCCTACCTACAGTGAGTTTTTAGTGTGGGTACCTGGAGGGCAAGTTGTTCATTCTTTGAACCGGAATCCCATTTTTTAGTAGATGGGATTTAGAGATTTGCTCTAAGGAGACCACGAAAGTAACAAAATCTCCCTGTTTTGGTTATCAGTGGAAGTGTAATGCATGCCCATGGACCCTTTTAAACTAATCCTCCAAGTAAATTGCTGTCTGGTCACGATGGGCTATGGAAATGTGGAATCCCTGCCTAGATGAATCAGCAAGTAATTGCAAAACTGTTATTTAAATTTAAGCCTTTTCTTCTTCCCAATTTTGGTCACTGAGAATGTGATTTCGTATCCAAAAATGAAATCAAGGAACAGCAAATTATCTGAATAATTCATGCCAGAATTACCCAAACACTTTTGTTCCTTTGAATACTGGTAATTCAGGACTAGGCAATTGAGGGATTCAGGGAGGCTTATCCTGATATTATTCAAATAAATGCCTCAAGTATACACTCGGCTCTAATCATGCTGGGTTTTGTCCTGCAGAAAGTGTTCCTTTTTAGTGTTCTTGACCACAACACCCCTTATATTAAAGCAAAAATACTCTGTTAATGTCTAAATGATGGTATCATCCTTAAACTACAACCTAAGCCTTCTTTTTAACTTTTATTGGTTTTTCATTTACTTTTTTGTCGAAGTGCTGTAGGTATCTATAACAGTAATGTTAGCGTTCTAACAAAAATTGGCTCTCCTCTGCCCAACCTACCCTGTTCTGTATTCCCACTCCCCTGAATCAACCACTTGGCTTTCTTTCAGATGTATTCTCTAGTATTCTGTATTGCCAGATCACATGCTCATACAGATATTCAACTTTAGATATTCTCTCTGTTACCTATTGGCATTCCACTATAGAAGGTAAAATGATAGCTAACACTTATAAAGCATTTACAGTGTACCAAAGAATATTCTAGGCGCCATATGCATATTAACTGTTTTAACCTTCACAGTAACACAATAGGGTAGATACTATTATTATCAGATTTTGCAGATTGGAAGCCAAGGCACAGAGAGATTATGTATCTTGCCCAAGTTTGTACAGTAATGATAAAAATAAATTAGGGAGCCAGGATTCCAAAAATCTATATTCTCCACAAAGAACCAAACTTGTCTAGCTCTATTGTAGCACCCAGCACTGCCCCCTACCCCCAAACACACCCATCCACCCACACACACACACACACACACACACCTGCTTCCTCTTCCCACCATTATTAATACAGTTTTATCTCTCTTGGGTTAAATTAGTATTTGGTGTTTATTATTACTATAGCTGTCTAAATATTAATCACACTAGGTCCATGCATTTCCTTTCTAATTATAACTTTACATTTTGGGGGGAGAAAGTAATTTTTGCTTCTCGAGTTTACAGTTCATTTCTAAACACTTCACAGGAGACAGAATCCTTCCTTCAGCACATTCAGACAAGTCAGGTGTCTCTCAGTTTGTTCAAGGAGCAACCTCCTTCCTCCTGCCCCAGTCTGGACTGCTGCTATCTGGCAGGGCTATACAGCTGTCTTCCTGGTGTTTCTCCCATACATTATTCTGGGAATTGCTTCTGCTTCTCTCCTGTGTAGAGCCCTATTTCCTGAATCTGTCTTTTCCCATTTGGGGTTTATGCTCTTGTTTTGGTAAACACATCTTCCCATCTTTAGGAGGTGAATGGGTGCTAAATTTGTTGAGACCTTGTCTGTCTGAAAGGATCTTCATTTTGCCCTCATCCTGAATTAGGTGTGTTTGGCTAGGTATAGAATTCTATGTAGGAAACAATTTTCCCTCAGAATCTTGAACACATTGTTTCATTTTCTTCTTGCTTCTAATGTGTCTTTTGCAAAGCTCCATTCCTCTCTAATTGCAAATCCCTTGGAAGCTATTATGATTTTCTCTTTATCCCCAGTATTTTGATTTCCTCATGCTTTGTCATGATGCTATTTTCATTCCTGACATGTGGGCACTCAGCAGGCTTTTTCAATCTGGAAAGCTATGTGCTACAGTTCTGGGAAATGTTTTTGTACAATTTCTTTGAAAGTTTTCTCCATTCCAATTTCTCTGATCACTCTTTCTGGAAATCATGTTATTGTAATGTTGGACACACTGAATCAATCCTCAGATTTGCTAACTATTTTTCTATATTTATCCATACTTTTGCTTTTTCTAGTTCTTTTAGGAAAGAACTGACCTGTACCTTCCAACCTTTCTAATTTTTTATTTTTGCTATAATAGTGTTAATTTCTAAAAGTACTTCGTTGGTTTTCTCTGTTTCCTCTTTGTAGCATTATACATGCAGGACTTACTTAAATTTTACAGTCAAGTACAAATGTATATTTTTTTCTTTTCTTCCTTTTTGCAGTAAAAATGGTGTGTGATACAGTTTTGCTTCTTGCTTTTCTTCACCTAACACAATGAAGGTCTTTATGTATTAGTATATAGTTTCTTTATTCTTTTACATAGCTACATATTATTTCACTGTATGAATGTCCTATTTTTAACCTTTCATTTTATTGAGATTCTCACCTTCTTTTGACTTATAACAGCTCTTTATATATTACATACTAGGAAGACTAACCCTTTGTAATATGAATTGCAGACATTTCCCCAGTTTTTCTTTTCTTGTTAAAGATGTTCAAAGTTCTCATTGTCTCCCTATGTTATCTCTATTCACTTTGACTTCCATTTCTCTGTTTATTTTGGTCCTGTCTTTCATAGTAGCACTTTCCTCAAATATCTGATGATCTCCAACTCATTTATATTCACTAAAGCTGAATGGAAGCTCCGACTTTATGGGTGAGGCTTACGGACTGGTAGATGTTGTTTCACACGAACTGGTGAGGACGAGGCTCTTTTGTTGGGGAAGTCCCTGTCAGTATTTGTAGGTCTTTTCTCTTGGCCAGTTCATTTCTCAAGTTAAGGAAACTCCAGTCTTCTGCTAGGGCCCATAACCTGAGTGCCAAGCATTCATGAGTCAGACTAAAGGGAGGTGGGTTGAGAATCATATTCTCACTTTCTCACTTCGGGAGACTTTCTTTTAATCTTCTGGTTCCCACCCCCTTTAGCTGAATTCAGAGTCTCTCTGGCTCATGCCTTGTAAATTGTAACCTCCAGTCTTCTTTCAGTGGGAAAGAGATATATACCCAGCTACATTTGGTCAGGGAGGTAATCTGGAATATGAATTGCTACTTCCAAAAATTTTTCAAATAATCTTCCCATTTTCAGCACCCACTCAGCACCCACTGTCACCTTCAGAAATACATGATGCTTTTGGTTTCTGTATCTTGCAGCACAAATCAGTTTGTTGCATTCCCTGCCCATAGGCTTAGATTTCTGCATCTTCAACTCTGCTAAATCAACTCCACATGCCCATTCACCTTCCTGTTTCTGAAATAGTGTTGGTATTTTGTCTATTATCATCCCCTCTCACTTCCCTTATTCATTTAGGTTTATGCCTTTCTTATTTCTTTACTTTCCTTTTAGTGTTGTTTTGTAAGAATAGGGTGATGAATGTATGTATTTAATCCACCATGTTTAATTGAAAGTCCCTAGAACATCTTTTAGCCAACCAGGTTTTTCTTGCCCCTTCTTCCCTTTCTTGCCCATAGACACTCTCTAAAGTTCTATTCAGGGGCACCTGGCTGGCTCAGTTGCTAAAGCTTGCAACTCTTGATCTCAGGGTCATAAGCTCGAGCCCCACATTGGGTGTAGAGATTACTTAAAATAAAATCTTAAAAATATTAATAAGGTTCTGTTCAGAGGAATAAATAAAGTAAGAATAAAGTAAGAATTAGAACATTCAGGCTGGGATGAGGATCAAATATTTACTGGAACACTGAGAATAGACTACATGGTCTTTGTAAGCAAGCACGATTTGAGGCCATAAAATCCCACTTGAGGCTCTCCATCCAAATATGTCCTCATGTTAGCAAGTAGCATTAACGGAAACACTTTGTTTTTGTCTGATGTAGCAACAAGAAGGAATTTATTAATATGTAGGCTGGCCCACCTTCAGGAGATGACTCCTCTCTGGAACATTTTTGTACCCAGAATGTGAGTAATATCTCATGAAAACGAATGCATCTACCCAGAAGGGAATTCACTTACACAGCACAACTGTTCCAAGGCTTAAGCTGGTATTTCTTTACATAGGCTTACTAGGTATCAGATCCTGGGGGCAGCAAACAGCATTACTTTTTCCTGGTTTTTTCTTTTTCCCCTAGACTTACCTACTTATGATCTTCCAACAGTAATCACACACCCAAAAAAAGTGTCTTCTTTGAACGATTAAGACTTGAGCTTATTGGACATTAAAGATGTCACCAACGAATCCATGTCAATAAAATATAAACATCTCTTGTTTCCACTCGACCAGCATTACTATACTTACTATCTTATTTGACGCGACTTTAACTTGAATTTGATGAAATTCGCTTGACTAGAATCTTGCCTGGATTCCAATCAGCATGATTGAGAAATGACTTCCAGAGCTGAATTAAAAAGTGTTGGCTAAGTGTGTGTTATTACATGACTATAGCTTTTATTGTTTAAAGAGTGGTTTATATGAAAAGAAAATAATTTGCCTACTGGAATGAAGTGTTCCTCAGTGTGGTTTGTATGAGGATAGTTTCCATGTTTGGTGAGCTGTTTAGTGCTGTTGTCTTGTAACTTGACCATAGTTTTATCTAATTCTGGTCTTTATGGTTTTTCTTCTGCTTAGGCATAATGACATCAATAGAAAAATGAAGAAATCCTACAGCATAAAGCACAATGCTGAGCCAGAGTCAAAAGAACTCTTCTTGTAAATCACTTTTTTCTTATCTCTCATTGCCGCCCTTTGGACACCATTGAAAATTTCTGGACTATCCACTGTGGAAATAGAATCATGAAAACCAATGCCTCACCAGCAGAATAACAATATCAGGATGCCTTAAATTTATAATAGTAGGCTATATAATACACATTTTTGGGTGATATTTGTATATATAACTTGTTTCTAAAGAGATGACGTTTAAAAGCATGATTGGGCCAATGTATGTTTTTTAAGATTGGATTGGTTCAGCTTACCCACACAATGTCCACCTAAAGCCACTGGCACCATCTTGTCTTTCATCAGTTGCATGAGTGTTTGCTAATGTTGATTGAACTTTCCTTTCCCGGTAAAATGGGCAGTTTGGGCTCAGCTCCTCAGTGAGACCAGGTCAGTGGTATTGTTTTCTGTCAAGAGTGTTTTTTCTGTCATTTCTACTTTTTGTATAAAGGAAATAAAACAATGTTAACAGCACCTAGAAGCTTGGGGCACCTACTTTCTAATAAGCCTGTGATGTTCTGCTTTCTAAGAGACCTTGAGACTATTTTGATTGCTGATATTTTATTTCAGGAACAAACTGCCCGGTTTAGCTATTTTCCCATAGGGGTGAAATAAAACATTCTAGTTTTCATTAAGTACTAAAGGATCAGACAAGTATATAAAGTAAGTCAATTCCTTCTGTCTTCTCAAATCCCAGCATTGACATGAGAAAATACTAATGACATCTAAGGATTCAGCCCCTGTTTGGGTCACTTTTTTTGTCAAGAACACATTATGAGACCTGTCTAATCCCTTTAGGAGACAGTGTGGAGCCTGAGTTTATAACAACCCTATTGTTGATATAGCTCTTTCAGTCCATGTAAGCAGTAAGTTCCAGATGGTTTCGTCCTATCATGTAAAAAAATATTTCTGTTGAAACTTCAAGAGTTTTATTTTCAAAGTGTTGGCATGGCCCATAAGAGGCCTGTCAAATCTTAGTTTGGAAATTGAATGTGTTCTTACCAGTAGGAGGGAGCCCTATATGTTACTCACAGTTATGAGCAGTGTTACTGCCGTCCAATGTGGACCATTCCATATCCTGGTGGACACAAGAGGCCAAGGTACTGAGTTAGGAGGAAATCTTGCATATATGGGTGACAAACTTGGCCTGACAAATTTGGGCTTGACAAGATACAGTGAGGTACAGAAGAAGGACCTAATATTCAAGTACCTTTTAGGTACCAGCCACACTTATGTAGAGATATTACTACTACCATTTTATAGCTTAGCAAATTAAACTTCAGAAAGCTTTAAGTCCTATGTCCAAAGTAATACTACTTGTAAATAGCAGACTTGGCTCGGGCCCAGGTTTGCTCATTATTCCCACTGGACTAGCCTATCGGTCCTGCACAATGCCATATCTTTAGTGCATTACCCACTGGACTAGTATACAGGGATCACGAGTTGTGTTGGCTCTACTTCTGGATGACTCTTGGGTCTTGGGTAAGGAACATTGCCTCCTCGAGAAATCTGGAAAAGGGCGAGACTGGCCTGCATGCACATTTCAGAGGTAAGTTCCTTTCAACCTACAGAGCAACATGTCTAGGAATTCAACCAATTTGTTCTGTCCATGTTTGGGTCCTCTGAGTTCCTGTCATTAGAGCCCAGTGCCCTGCGTGGTTCTGTGTTGCTCACATTGTCTTCTCAAATGAGATGCCCTATTCTGAATTTGGCCCCTTGGCCTCAAGGACCCTCTCTGCTTCACATTTCATTGCTGGGTCCTACTGTTACAATTCTAATAGAGAATATATGGCCAGCATCTGTGAAGATTCTCGTGCTTTCTGCTTGGTACAGAAGAGGTGACACTCACGCCACACATGAGCCAAGCTTTTGGACTTAGTTATAGAATGAGGCTTGCAAGGGAAAGGGACCCACAGAGTGCTCTCTCTGTTCCCCAGCAGCCCCAGCTTTGTTCTTAGACTGGGCTTTTAAACTTAAAAGTTGAAGGGGTGGGGTGGCGTTCTGCAGAGATTTTATGAGCCAAACACAGAGTTCCCAATTAAACGTAGCAGAGAAAACCAAGAGTTTGAAAGAAAGAGATGCTACCTTGACATAGAAAACTGGCAATTCGATTGTTTATTGACACAAGCATTTCAGACACCAGAGTACTAAGCCCTGCAGAGCAAATAATTAAAAAAAAAAAAAAAAGGCGAAACAGGAAAATTCAAGTACATTCAGATGAGCCAGATTGCCGAGACAATGCATTCTGTGTTTATTGATGTTGTTAGGACACTAAAAATGCTGATCCTTAAATCACGCATGTACACCATCTTTACCATCCAAGTTCTTTATGAAATGGATAAATTACGCTTGCTTGAAATAAATAGAAATGATGTGTTCCTTACCACAAGCTCAGTTGTGTGCAGAATTTATAAAATGAAAACACAGACTCTTATTTCTTCACAGAAATGGAGACACACATGTTAAAGAAAGAGAGAGTGTGTTTCCTTCAAGTAAGCGGAACTTTGGGGCCCCTGCCCCACTCCATCCCACTGGGCTAGTAAAATGAGTGAAGCTCTATCTGCCTGCCTAATTACATGCAGCAGAGCTGGAAACTCAGCCCCACTGTAAAAAAACTCTCTCAGCATCTGTCAGCGTCTTTTAAAGACTGGCTGCTTTTATGTCACTAAAGGGACTCATTTTGCCAAAGTTCAACACATCAAATTAAGAACGTTTCTTAGAAAAGATAACAAAATACCAAACCTTCATCACTTTGAATGGATTGAATGCCCATTCGTTATTCTCATAAAACATTAGTACCAAGACCTCAACTCTAAGAAGAAACTTCTAGATGTGCATCATGGGGTTAGGAGTGGGTATGAAGACTCTCAAAGGGTATCTATCTTCAAGTAAATTTTGAAAATTTTTTTCTCAAAGCGAATATTTGCAGGCAACGTACTGGATGGTACAGGCTAGAGGAAATAACTATAAAATATTTAAATAATTCCCTGAAGGAGTCCTTGATACGAAATGCGTTAAATGTTCTCTCTTCAGGAGCCACCTATGTGTGTAATCTGAGTTAACTGATACAGCCAAGTAAGAATAAGAGATCCATGGCAATGGAGGTGATACCATGTCCCCATGTGAAAATGGAGTTTGTGCTGTCTATTGCCCTGAAACTAATTTGTTGATGGGTCTCTCTCTATAAGTCCCATGTTATCTCTGATTTTATTTCCCTTTATTCTTCATTGCATAGTTCAATGTAACTTTTTGAGCGCCTGATTCCTGTCTCCTAACAATACCCTATGTTCATTGATCTCCACAAGAATCTTTGTCGCCTCTCATAGATGGTGGTTAGTAAATACCTATCGTCAATTTTTGTCAATATTTTTCAACTTCTGCTACCCTTATATCCATCTTAGTTTCTTCTCATTTCTTCCCCATTCTTCTACCCCTTCCTCTTCCTCTTCTCTTTTTCTCTCTCTCCTTCCCTCCCTTACTCTCTTTCCTCTGCTGACACCTCCACTCTCCATTTTTCCCCTTTGTCTGCCCTAGGTTCCCAAGATCTGGAAACCCTTTTTATGGGGTTTCCTTGGAAGAAGCCTGGCAAAGGAATTGCAGTAAGTAGAAATGTACTGGACGCATACTTACAATGAAAAATCCTCTCTCCCTTCTTGCCACAGTGTGTAAACAGAACGGCATCTTTCTATATGCTGATGTGGTCATCAGACTCTGATTGAGCCCATGCCAAGGATGGGGCCCCGGGCTAGGCACTCTCTTGGAATAAAAACCACTCAGAAGTTGGTATTAACCATGGTGGGGGCATACAAGGATACATAAGTTAACAAATTGTGTATTTGGAGGGACACATGGGGAAAAGTATTGTAATTGGTTCATAGCTTACAGTTCTCAAACTTTGCTATACATTAGAATCACCTGGGGGAGCTTTTAAAAATCTGATGTCCAGGGGCACCTGGGTGGCTCAGGTGGTTAAGCATCCAACTCTTGATTTCGGCTCAGGTCATGGGATCAAGCCCCGCGTTGGGCTCTGCACTCAGTGCAAAGTCTGCTTGGGATTTTCCTTCTCCCTCTGCCCTTCCCTCCCTGCTAAATAAAAAATAAAAAATAAAAAATCTATGTCCATGCCAACCCTATAATAAATGTAACTCTCCGGGTAGAACCCAGACATCAGTATTTGTAAAAACTCCCTTCACAATTCCAAAAAGGCAACCAAGCTTTAACACTAACACCTCACTACTCAAAGTGTGGCCAGAAAACATTAGCATTGACATCAGCTGGGAGCATATCAGAAATGCAGAATCATCTGACACTGACCATGGCCTCTACTTCTAATTTTGTGAGGCTGTGAACTGTCTATTGAGACAAAAAAAGACCCTTCCTCAAGGAGAGGGGAAGAATGATGAGCCCCTAAACCTAGAGTCAGATTTGAAGAGGGTATTAGGTGTTTTCTGGAAATACCACATTATACTCTTCTGTTTAGTGTGTCCATAAGTTTAATGTGTATATATGGAAATCCTATTCCATACTATAATCTCATATGCAGAAATTCAAAATCATATAATTATAGAAAGTGAGGTTTTTTTTCTGGATGGGAGAGGTAAAAGAGAGCACCATAATGTTTCAAGAAAGGATGAGGCCATTGCACTTTTTAAATCATGCTGAGGGTAGCTTTTCCATTGTTATTTCTCAAAGTTCTCTAAAATCTGGATGTATGAAACCAAATCACCAAGAAGCTACCCATCTGGCAAGGGCATAAGGAAGACAAAATACGGTCAAGCAATGACTAAAACCATTCCCAGAACCACTCCTCAACCACCACTGCGGGGGCTTCCCATATATGCCAGCAAGACACACGACTTCATGATTTTATGACTTCAAGACACAGTGCAGTGCTATACTGTATGCCAAAGACATTCCTTTGTTTACACAACACACACAGACACACATGAACACACACACAGTGAATGTCTGCCTTGTGCACAGCTCTGTCCCAAGCGGCAGAAAGGCAAGCATAAATCTAGGGTAATGAATGCATATTGCTTTTGATGAAATGTGGAAAGTCTGAGTTCAACTGGATAAATTTTTTGTGATGTTGTGCCCATAGTCGCATTAATATTTTATAACTATATTTCTTGTCTTTCTATGGAATCCATTTCATGCAGTTGTTCAGCGCATGAGGAACAAGGAAGGAAGGATTTAAATTCTATTATTTGTGGTCGGCCGAGCTAGCTGTCTTCTCAATATCCTTTCTCTCTTTCTTCCCAATTAAGAGAAGCCAGTTAAATGTTCTCAGGTAAAATGAATTTACCAAATGCCCTGAAAATTAGGAACGGTCATGTGACTCGGTTTGGCTAATGAAAAGTCAGTAGAGATCCTATAGCACTTCAGAAAATGTTGGAGAGAAAGAAGCTTGCCTGGCCTTTATCTTTTGTGGCTTCTGCTTTCCCCTCTGGGACAGAGCAGTGCCTCTTGCA